GAAATAGTAGTCTTCTCTCCACGGCTGTACGCAGTGAGCTAGATTACAAATGAGTGAAACGAGTACGTGAATCTAATGAGCAGATGTGCGCTCACTGTGTTCAAGTGTTATGTGATTACATATACGGGCGAGTGAAGGAAATAATACAGCGCTCGTATGTTATCTTATTATATTACTACGAAGTGGAATTGTTACATTACATTATAAGCGAATGAATGAAATGAAGGAACGCATGAAATCAATGTAAGCATGAACGAAGTGAGCACTCATTTTATTCGTGCAGCATTATATTGTTGTCATTTTTGTCATTCTTATTCTTGAAAGGGGGCAATAAAAGTCCCCTGGCCTTAACTAAGGGGTATTGGGCTCTTTGGGGTCTTAAAGTTTTCTGCGGCAAGTTCCGGGCTGCCCGTGCCAAAAAGGCTTTGAAATGCTGTTTGGAGGATGCGGGTGTGGCTCGGTCTAGGGGTTTCGGTTTAGGGTTTAGGGTTTCGGGTTTAGGGTTTTGGGGTTTTGGGGTTTAGGGTTTAGGGTTTAGGGTTTGGGGTTTAGGGTGTAGGGTTTGCAGGTCTTCGAGCCTCAGCGTATAGGATACTCTGGCATTTGCGTGCCGACCCAAAATAAGGCGCCCCTTTTTGGTACTGTGCCCTTGCCTCTAGGGAACATGCTACCAGTCAGCATAGACAACCCCCTACCAAATCAAGAAGGGCTGATAGCCCTAAACCCTAAACCCTAAACCCTAAACCCTAAACCCTAAACCCTAAACCCTTGAACCCCTATTTGTGGAGTCTCAACACCATGGCCCCAAGGCTTGGACGGCAGCCTCAGTTGCATGCGTCTGAACACCATGAGCGCGCGTCCGAACTCCTCAGTCCGTCTGGATGCTAGACACCCCACCCTAAACCCTAGCCCTAAACCCTAAACCCTAAAACCCCAAAACCCCAAAAATCCTAAAACTCCCAAAGCCCCAAAAATCCTAAAACCCCAAAACCCTACATCCACAACCCGAAGCCCGAAACCCGAACCCTCCGATGGAGAGGCGGTGGCCTCCCCTTGGCGCTGCTGAAACGCCTCTTCCCCGAGGTCCCCCCGCGCACTCAGAGCCTAAACCCGGTACCCTAAACCCTCTAGGGTTTAGGGTTTAGGGTTTAGGGTTTAGGGTTTAGGGTTTAGGGTTTAGGGTTTAGGGTTTAGGGTTTAGGGTTTAGGGTTTAGGGTTTAGGGTTTAGGGTTTAGGGTTAGGGTTTAGGCGGTTTAGGGTTACGATTTAGGGTTTAGGGTTCATCAGGTTTTAGGGTTTAGGGTGTAGGGTTGAGGGGTTTGAACCCCCAAACGCTAATCAAAGGGAGACGCCTACACCCGCAGCCTTAAACCCAAGAACCTGGGAGCCTGCCGGGGTGGCGGGCCTAAATCCCAAGACCCTCCTAAACTAAAGCAGCACCCAAGCCTTGAAAGGCCCCCGAAGCCATAAAGGTATAGGGTTTAGGGTTTAGGGTTTAGGGTTTGGGGTCTATACGCAGGGTTAGGCCCGAGTGGGCTTTCGGGCTGGAATCGAGTTTTAATCCTGGGTCCTTCTTTCCTGAACCCTGCGCCAACCAACCACAGGCGCACAAGAAGGTCGACAAGTACCTCAAAGAGGTCCGTGGCCAAGGGCTGGTGGCAGGTTAGAGTTTAGGGTCAGAGTTTAGGGTCTAGGGTTTAGGGTCTAGGGTTTGGGGTTAAGTTAAGGGTTTCTTGTAGGCTTGCGGGCTTTGGAACGAGCTTTAGGGAGGCTTTAGACTCTTTCACTGGCCGCCCCCTTCTTGGCGGGATTTGAGGCTTAGGGGTGGGGGGGGGGATGAAGACCCTTTGGACTGCTCCCAAATTGAAAGGTGTCTTTTTTAGGGGGGTTCCCTTATGGTCCTTTTGTAGATATACTATAATAACCCCCCAAAACCGTCTTCTAAGATCTTCTAAGTATTCAGGCCCCTATATTATACCTGTACAGCCGGACCAGTGAACTGTGTGGTGGAGAGAGGGAGACGCGTTCTTTCTCCGGACCTGGCGGTAGCGGGACAAAGGTGTGACATACTCTTCGTGCCCTGAGGTTGGGTTCTCAATCATAGAAAGATGCGAAGATTTTGAGGGAGATGTCGTAAGCTGCCCCGATACGAGATTGTACTTTGCATCCTACCCGCCAGCTGTTGTCGAATGAGGGTGTGATGAACTCTGTCAGGAACAAGACAGAACGCTGGAAGGGCATGCGTCTTCGGGCTGCTGCTGGAAGTTTTCGACCCTCTTTTGGCACCCACGACCGCAACCATTCCCCCCCGTGCCAAAGAAAGGAAGCTAAACCCTAAACCCCACCCCTTTAAGTCCTAAACCAAGGGAAACAGTAGCCACGGACATCCGTCGTACTTCCTGGTTCTCTTGTCAGGCGCTGCGCGTCACTGAGACGTTGCAGCCGCTGCTGACTGAGGCCCCAAACTCGCTACTAAGAACCAGTAAGTAAGAAGGCTTCAGAGCGATAGGGAAGTACCCCCTGAAGAACTCCCTCAGAGCCCGCACCAGAAGTCAAGAGGGTTGAGGGGTTAAGTCTCTGTTGAGTGTCACGAAGTCCGTACTTAGACCAGGCACCCTTGAGCAGGATGTCCTTGCGACTCTTCATTCACGCCTGAAAACCCTAAACTGCGAAGCTTCAAGCTTGAAGAGCGGAAGTCCTAAAGAATCGAAGTTGGGCAGCTTCAGGCATATCCCACACCCCCAAACCCTATAACCCACTGCCACTGACACTTTGCTATAACCCTACAACCCTAGAACCCTCTAATCCTATAACCCTAAACCCTGAGATTGCCCTAACCTCGCAAATCAGAGATCAAGCCCTCCCGACCTATTAAAGGTTTGCTTTACAAGTACGGAAGCCACCTGGTTAAAGTAGGGGTTTTCAGGGCCCTAAATTGTCTTCGCAGCCTTCTCATTTAATTAAGTTAGAACTCACTCCCTCAGCTAAACTTCGCACTGTAGGGGGGTGGGGCGGGCGCCCGACTGTAGGGCTTTTAACCCCACGCTGCCCAAGAGTGGTCCCTTTTGGTTCCGGCCCGCGAGTCCTTCCTCGAGTCGCCACCTGATCTCCGGAGCCGCGGGCGCTACGACGCCGCCGTGCACCCGCAGCGCAACTACACGGAGGTGCCGGTGCAAAGCCTTTTTAAGACAGCTCTGCAAAGCCCCAGATAGCACCCCCGCAACCCCCATGCAAAACATGCTTTAGGGGTATCGGCCTGCGGTGTAGAAGACAGAACCCCCCACCCCCCACCCCCCACCCCCTCCCAAGCCGTCCACGGCATCGGTTGCGAGGCGCTGTGCCGCCGGCTCCTTCCCGCTCAAGAGAGGAGGTCGGTTTCGCGCGAGGCAGTGGGAAAACGCGTGGGCGCCCGTCGTCGCAGCCCGGAATGTGGTTGCTTTAACAGAAGGAGCATCGCATTGTTTATCAGGGTTTAGGGTTTAGGGTTTAGGGTTTAGGGTTTAGGGTTTAGGGAAGCCCTAAACCTTAACCCTACTTGCGGAGCCAGCAGGCGGGTGTGGGACGATGACCTCATTCGTCCAAGTGCTGGGCCCTGCTCTGAGAAGTGCTCCATCATGGAGCTTGAGGCAAGCCTTTTAGGGTATGGGGTTTAGGGTATAGGGTATAGGGTATAGGGTTTAGGGTATAGGGTTTAGGGTATAGGGTTTAGGGTATAGGGTTTAGGGTATAGGGTATAGGGTGTAGGGTTTATGGGTTTAGGGTGTAGGGTTTATGGGTGCAAGCCTTGGACAAGGAACCAGCATTTTTGCAAGTCGTTGCTCCACATGCCTGGCTACATTTGGGTTTTTTTCGTCCTTCAACGCTGAACATGAGTCCTGAACATCCCTAGTTTTATGCCCTAAGACTAGGGTTTAGGGTTTAGGGTTTAGGGTTTAGGGTTTAGGGTTTAGGATTTAGGATTTAGGGTTTAGGGTTTAGGGTTTAGGGTTTAGGGGCACCCTAGCACCAAGGACCTCGTGAGGCAAGCGGGCCGCAGAGAGCTGCTGTCCGGGCCTCTTGCGTGCACGCTGCAGCTGCAATTCGGGTTGGGGTTTAGGGTTTAGGGTTTAGGGTTTAGGGTTTAGGGTTTAGGGTTCAGGGTTTAGGGTTTAGGGTTGAGGGTTGAGGGTTTTGGATTTAGGGTTTAGGGTTTAGGGTTTAGGGTGGGCCTAGACTGGGTTTGTGGGGTTGCTGCTTATAAGTTAGCTGAAGCCACAACTCATGAATGGCAGAAAGAAAGAACCCTTGCCTCATCTCGCTAGGCACTGCTTCTACAGAGAGAAGACAGGACAAATACCAGATCAGTATCAAGTAGGGTTTATATTACTGTTTTTGGTGAGTGTATATGAGGTTCCTTTTTAATATTGGTGAGTGTATATATGGGGTGTCCTTTTGGGGATACAAGAAATATATACCCTACTTCATGTGAAATTTCAGAACGTTTAGTAACTAGCAGAGCAAATGTGCTGACAGTGCAATGTGAGTAGCAGTCGTCGTCTCTGGACATCGAGCATGGTGAGCCATGCCTCAACCGCGCATGGTTGACATGGCTGACCCAGACCTGTGGTCCCTCCCGGATGAGGTAAGGGGCACAACCATAGGGGCCTCACAGCTGAACTTTGTGGTACTTTACCGTAACTTTAGATCCTTACCCTTTTTGGGTTCATTGGGTTTCTTAATAAGGCAGCTAAAAGTTTAGTTTATAGCTACCCTCCTGAGTGCAGCCAAGTGAAGGACAGGCAGGGCAGGCAGTCCAACGCCTACGTTACGAAGCAGGCAGATGCAACGGCGGAAGCCCGAACAAACAAGGAAGAGCTGCAGACCGAACTCGAGGTTGAGCTCCTAGGACCGGGAGTAGGCCCTTTTTTCCGTTTTTTGGGGTTTTGGGTTCCCTTATAATTTCCTTAAAACCAGAAAGGGTACACTTTTTTATTCCTAGGATACTCCCGGGTCTAGGCTCATGCGAGGGGTGTCCCTGGCTGTTTGCCTGAGCGGCTTCGGTCAGCACTGGGCCAATTCCGGCGCTGGAAGCATGTACCAAACAAGCAAAACGAGCTACGATCTCAGCTACAGGATCAAGACGCTGGATCACTTCTTGTCCCACGACTGGAAGACATCCCGGTGGTCCAAGCTGTTGACCTTGCTGATAGTGTTTAACCTGCGTGCAGCGACAACCATCACGCTGATCACCTCGGTCTTTCTGGGTGCCCGCCAGGCCATGATTTACAGTGGAAGGCATGAGTTGGGCAGGAATTTTTTCAGATCTGAGATCAATGCCTTTCCTTACGTCGTGTTCATCACAGTCCTCTGCTTCTGGCAACGGATCCGGTGTATTCTCAGACGGCGCACAGTATTTTTAGACAAGCTCTGCATTGCACAGCATGACCCTGAGCTAAAGGCAGCTGGGATCATGGGTCTGGCTGCTTTCCTGGATGTTTCGAAGGAGCTCGTGGTTCTGTGGTCGCCGCGATATTTCACCAGGTGGGACATGGTAAAAAAACTAAAAACTTGCGCCGGTACGTTGGGAGTTGCTAGGGGCTTGCACCGGGCAGTGGCCTACAATAAGGATCAGAGGAGGCATATGTGTTAGAAGTAGCTATGCCCCTGCCAAAAACAAATGAGGCACCCACCCACACACACACACAAACAACGTTGTTACGCTTTCCCAGGTTATGGTGCGCGTATGAGCTTGCCAGTTACATGAGGGACCCGAAGCAGAGAAGACCACTGCGGATCATACCGGTCGCGATGTCATGGATTCTTGCCTTCATGTTCCTCAATCTTGCGATGGTTATGATAACATTTGAAGTCGCCATTGATTTGCTGCCGACTGGATCAGGATGGGGTTCGATGAGTTGGGACGCCTACCCGCCCCTCATAGCCATCATAGGCAGCGCTTGTGGTGTCGTGTTTCCGGTGGTGTTCTATTTGGGGACGCATTTGGTGCTGGACCTTCAGGCCCTTGAGCAGCAACTGAGTGAGTTCCTCGCCGAAGAATCGGTGTGCTTCTGCTGCAGCAATGACCATCGGCATCCAGTAACCGGACAGACTTTGGTGTGTGACAGGACCTTGGTCTACGACAAGTTAAGACAGTGGTACGGCCGAGACGAGGACCTCGGGGAGGAGTACCCTAAACCCTAAACCCTAACCCCCTAAACCGGGGTACGGCCGAGACGAGGACCTCGGGGAGGAGTACCTGGACAGGTTCAACACCGTCGTGCGCATGCGCTTGGGCGAGACCGTTCTGCAGGGCACTCGCCGCATGAAGATGCCTTTTGCGCACCTTAGTAGCTGAATGAGGGTTTAGGGTTTAGGGTTTAGGGTTTTGGGCTTAGGGCTTAGGGCTTAGGGTTTAGGGTTTAGGGTTTAGTAGCTGAATGAGTACACCTTGCACTTTTTGGGATACTAGAATCCCGTATAGAACTGAAAGTGTACAGTTGTTTTGGTTCAGGAACTAAGGCACTGCGTTTACCTCGCGGCTGCCGCGGCTGCTCCTAAACTGACGGACGCCGCACGAGAAGCTACCATGGAAGTTTTCAGGGATGGTTCTACACCGGGTACCTTTCTGCTCAGCGCCCTCTCACACGCTCTTCTGTTCTGGGTCTTCCACATTGCAGTCTTCTTGTTCTACATGTGGCTTCAGTTCAAGGTTTGCCAAGTCGGTGCACATCTTATGCGCACTTTCCCTCTCAAGTGTTTGGTTGTTGTGTTCGCCCCCTTGACGATTGCAGTCGCCGGCTCCACTTGGGTTGCCCTGGGGATCGTCAACAACTGGCTCAAAAGACCTGGAGGTTTTGAGCGCGAAGTCCTTGATTTGTGTTTCTTCGGCATTACACTTCTGCTCGTGAGGGGCTCGGTCGGTTGTGGCTGCTGCCACATGCGAGCTACAAGCTGAGGAATATAGAGCACTTTCGATTTGGGTCTGAGCACTCGGGCTTAGGGAACTTGAGCTTGAGGTGTTGCTAAGCTTGACGGTTTGCGGTGTAAGGTCTGTAGGGTGCAAACTGGAACATAAGGCACGTTCAGGCCGTAGCGTGAGTTCAGGTCGTTTCACAGGTCGCAGATGCGACGCTGGCATTTCAGCCCCAAGGGTGTTGGGGTGTTTGTATGTTTTGCCCAAATAAAGGGTCTAGGGTTTAAGGTTTAGGGTTGGGATTGTCTCTAGACATCCAATGCCATAAAGGCTTGGCGCTGGCGACGCCAGTCGCGCGCGGTTGTTTGTGAGACCCCAAAACCATAAGGGCGGTACCTAGGGTTCTTATAGGGTTCAGGGTTTAGGGTTTAGGGTTTAGGGTTTAGGGTGCTTCCAAAACCCTGCTGGCCACTAGCAGAGGTTTGGGTTCAGAGTCTCTTTGGGATCTAGGGCTTGGGGTTTCAGGTTAAGATTCACAGGCACAAGATACTGCACCACAAAGCAGTGCGACGACTTCTGCCTTGTTTTTTTTGAAATGGGGTTTTCCGAAAATAGGGGACTCCTCATGTAGACCCCAAAAAGCAGGATTCCCTTATCATAAGGACCCCTATCACTTACTCCCTAAACACTATCCCCTAAGCCCTAAACCCTAATTTTGGAAACTCCGAAATTGTCCAATTTTTTTGAATCTTTCAAGACTGGCACGCCGGCACGCTCTTTGGGCCCTGCAAGCGGAACGGGGCTTTGGAAAAGAGATCCCATGGATCAGGGGGTTAGGGTTTAGGGTTTAGGGTTTAGGGTTTAGGGTTTAGGGTTCAGGGTTTAGGGTTGAGGGTTTAGGGCTTATAAACAACTCGGAACCACCCGAAACCCTAAACCCGACGCCTGGCATCCATCAGGGGGCGGCCCCTTCGCAATGGGGACAAGGAGCCTAAACCCTAAACCCTAGACCCTAGACCCTAGACCCTAGACCCTAGACCCTAAACCCTAAACCCTAAACCCTAAACCCTAAACCCTAAACCCTAAACCCTAAACCCTAAACCCTAAACCCATCCTGAGGCTCCCAATCTCCTTTTTTTGTTTCATGGAAGACGTCTCTCAGGCGAGATCTGCTGGGCGCTGGGGCAACCCCAACCGGGTCGAGCCATGCAGCTTCTCAGCGAAATCTGGGGTTGGGAGGGGTTTAGGGCCTCGTAGTGGCTGAGTAAGTACACTTTACACTTTTTGGGATACTATAATCTCCTTGTAAAATTGACAGTGTACACTTTTTGGGGGCTTATGAACTCAGCAGCCAACCCCTTATGGGATCTGGGGTTTAGCGTTTACGGGCGTAAGGTTTACGGTTTTTGGAAGGGGTTTAGGGCTTCAGGGTTCCGGGCTTCGCTTTGAGTTAGCCCTAAACCCTAAACCCTAAGCCTCAGCCGCACTAGCCTTCATCCCCTAGGCGTTCGTTTAGGACTTCTTGGCGACATCTGCGAGACTGACAACGCGGAAGCAGCGGCATGAATTCCGATATGAATTCCGATCTCAGACTGACTTAGCCCTACCTTACTTGGAGGTTCAGAGTACTTATTACCCAATTATAACTGTACTTATAACTGTACTTCTAATCATATTTGGGCACCCGACTGACTTACGGTCAGGCCCAGAAAGTTGGAACATGGTTTAAAGATCCTTAGGATGTTCCAACTTTTTGGAGTTTACTGTAGCCCGACCGTAGTGCCGAGAAGCCCTAAAACCCACGAAGCTTGGACCAACCCTTCCTGGTTTAGGGTGTAGGCTCTCGGAAGTTCCTACATAATCGAACCCTCAACCCGAAACCCGAAACCCGAAACCCTAAACCCTAAACCCTAAACTAAACCCTAAACCCTAAACCCTAAACCCTAAACCCTAAACCCTAAACCCTGCACCCTGCAAACCCTAAACCCTAAACCCTAAACCCTAAACCCTAAACCCCTCAACGAGGCCACGCGACCCTGCTCGCGCCCGCGGTGGCCTGCCTCGTCGGTGCCGGGGCCGCATCCTCGGGCAGCCACAGGCCCAGGAGGCAGGGGTTTCGGGTTTAGGGTTTAGGGTTTAGGGTTTAGGGTTTAGGTTTTAGGGTTTAGGGTTTAGGCCGGTCACATTCCAACCAAGTGTTCTTGAAAAGTAGCTGTTCAAGGGGTCCCCCCTTTTGCAAGACGATGTTCTGCATCAACCGTGCTTCCATGCGTTGCCGCAGGGTCCAATGTTTTGTTAGCCTGGAACTAATAGATGGATTGCAAACAGAAACTTGCCCTTCAAGCTATCTTGATTTTTTTGTGTGTGTATTGCACAATAAGGTGCTGTAGTTGTGTGTCCCTAGGGTTTATGGATTGAAGTGAACTTCATGTGATTCTCTTCATGTTATGGGATTCTTTGGGCGGTTGGGTATTTCCAATGCTGGACAAAATGCTTGGCTAGTTTATGCTTGGACTTGAGATGCCGCACCTAAACCCTAAACCCTAAACCCCATAAATCCTAAACCTTAAGTTTACTTAAACCTTAAACCCTAAACCCTAAACCCTAAACCCTAAACGCTAAACCCTAAACCCTAAACCCTAAACCCTAAACCCTAAACCGTGCCAAGGCCTTAAGACCCTCAAAGCCCGGAGCTTGCAGGCGCGCCAGCGCCAAGACGGGCCTCCGCGCCTTCCGCCGCGATCTCACCTTAGAGGGCTACCCCATCCATGCGAACGGCGCGCGCCTCAGATTCGGGGTTTAGGGTTTAGGGTTTAGGGTTTAGGGTTTAGGGTTTAGGGTTTAGGGTTTAGGGTTTAGGGTTTAGGGTTTAGGGTTTAGGGTTTAGGGTTTAGGGTTTAGGGTTTAGGGTTTAGGGAGGTTTGGGGTTTGTGGTTTAGGGTTTGGGGTTTGGGGTTTAAGGTTTAGGGTTTAGGGTTTAGGGTAGCTCTGAGCCCCTCATCCCTGAATCGAGGGTTTGCGCTGGAAGTTCCGGATGCTGGGATGGTCGGGCCATCGCTTATAGAGGACTGCTTAGCTAGGATGCCCAGTAGTACCCTTATTCCTTTTCTGGGGGGTTTAGGTTCCCTTATAAACCCCTTTAAGCAAAAAAGGGCACCCTTTTTAAGCCTAGGTTACTGGGCAGCCTAGCTAATATAGGCGAGGGGTCGGAAAAATTGCACTAATGGTATTCCCCTACGGTCCCTTTGTAATCAAACCACAATACCTATACCCCCCCCCCCCCCCCAAGAAAAAAAAAAGTTCTAATTATTCAGGCCCCTATGTTATAAGGTTTCCCTTGAGGAGGGCATGAGCCGTAAAGTTGGGGTCATATACCCTAGGCTACTATAACCCCTACTAAGGTACTTGGACCTCAAACCCTTACCCTAGACTACTAGAACCCCTACTAAGGTATTTGGACCTCAAACCCTTTCAGGGTTCATTTCGTCTACAAGGTTTTTTTTGTTCGGTGAGCCTTCCTTAGGCGTGCTCCCGGATTCCCACCATTTCCACTTCAGCAGTATCCCCTAAACCCTAAGCCCAGTTCCCTAAATCCTAAATCCTAAACCCTAAATCCTAAACCCTAAATCCTAAACCCTAAACCCTAATCCTAAACCCTAAACCCTAAACCCTAAACCCTAAACCCTAAACCCTAAACCCTAAGCTACTGTGTCCCCTTCGAAGTGCTGAGGTTACTACTGGACCCTGTCAAAGTGCACGGAGGCCAGCCTGTGTGTGGGAGTGAAGTTCTCTACGAATTGCTTAAGAACACCCCCCCCCCCCAAAAAAAAATAAATAAAATAATAATATATATATATAGTGTATATATATAGTATATTATATATATATATATATATCTATCTATCTAATCATCCTCCTTATAAGGGCAATGTAAACTGTAGGGATTTTCATTTTCATTTTGTTTTTTTTTGGGGGGGGGGGGGGTTCTTAAGCAAATAGTAGTTCTAGCCGACATACGCCACAGGAGAAGGACATGAAGCCGGAGGTCTGGGCATTGGCCCTAAACATTGAAACCCTAAACCCTAAACCCTAAACCCAATACCCAATAAACCCTAAACCCCTAATCTGGGTAGTGCTTTGGGATGATTTTAAATATCCCTTCTTTACCTTTTCAGGGAACCTATTCGTAAATTATTTTCACAGGGGCTTTAGAGCACCATTCAGCTAAAAGCCCTCTTCCCAAATGGCAGCCCTTTGGTGTCGGGTTTAGGGTTTAGGGTTCAGGGTTTAGGGTTTAGGGTTTAGGGTTCTCCCTTGGGCCAGGCAGTGATCATCTATATCCCGATTGCGGATGACGTCAAGAAGCAGGAGCGAGCGAGCGTTGCACAGATGTTCTCACCTGACCTCACTGTAAACCCCTATAATTCCCTAAAGCCGAAAACGCTATAAACCCCCCTAAGCCCCAAAAAACCGGGAACGCCACCCCGCTAAACCCTAACACGCTGGACTCGACCTCTCTAAACCCCCCAAATGCCCCCCAAATGCACCCCAAGCAGCGCCCAAAGTGTAGGAGGCTACCCTCAACCCGAAACCTCAAACCCTAAACCTGCCCTAAACCCTAAACCTACGTGCAAGGATGTCATCTTTGACTGCCGAGATGGCATCCTCAAGCCCCCTCCTCGGCTGGGTTTTCTATTAAAATTTGGACTCAGGGTTTAGGGGTTAGGGATGAAAATCGAGGCGTCTGAGCTTTTTGGGGTTGAGCGTTTCGGGTTTCAGGGTCTACGGGTTTGTATTTGTCGTTGTTCAATTGTTGTTGTTGGGGTGGGGGGGGGTGGAGGGTGCTTGAAGGTTGAGGGCTTTAGGGTGATGTTGGTGCTTGAGGTCTGATGGTTGAACGCAGTGAGTGGAGACGCGTTCCTGACACACACCCCTTCAAGGATTTTAGCCTTCCCATCTTTAGGGTCCAGGGTTGAGGGTTTAGGGTTTAGGGTTGAGGGTGCTATAAAACAGATTCCTCAACAGATTCCTCAGAACGGCCCGAAGTCCCAAACACTCCAGCAGGCAACCGAAACCCATGTAATCCCTGAGCCATCCTGAATCTTGCACAAACCCTAAACCCTAAACGTCTGGACCCCTAAACCCCTAAACCCTAAGCCCTAAACCCCTAAACCCCTAAACCTCCAAACCCCTAAACCCTAAACCCTAAACCCTAAACCCCTAAACCCTAAACCCCTAAGCCCCTAAACCCTAAACCCCTAGACCCTGTCTTCCCAGGGCGGGGTTGGTCCCCGAGAAAGGCGGCTTGGTTATCAATGACAAGGCCGCGACCCCTCGCAGATTCAGGGGTTTAGGGGTTTATGGTTTAGGGTTTAGGGTTTCGGGTTTAGGGTTTAGGGTTTAGGGCTTAGGGTGTGGGGTTTGGGGTTTAGGGTGATCCCCAAATCGGTTTGGGATGTAGGGCCTATGGCATTTATAGTAGGCGTTGATACCCCTAAAACCCCAGGGCCAAACCACCGGAAGCCCGTGAAACATGACAACTAAAGCACGCGTCAATCGCAGCCCAAATCCCCAAGACTCATGGGTTGTATGGTGATTTCTCTAAATTAGTGGCCTTTGTGGGGTCCTTATTATAAGGCTGCCCCTCTTATTTGGGTACCCAAAAGGGGACCATCAATTTCAGAACTGACCATCTAGGCAGTTAGGGACCCCAAGACGTGAAGCCTAATCATTTGCCCAGGCCGAACATGCAGAAGCTCCCCTCCAACCCGGGAATTCCCCAACCACCAAGCTCCCCAAAACCCGCTGTGGTCTTAGGAAACCTGCAACAGGTAGGCCGTAGACCCAAGCCCTGAAAAAACACACGCTTTACATACCCAAACCTTATATTATTTATTTATTTATTTTTTGTTTGTTTGTTTGTTTATGTATGTACATATGTAAAGAAGCCTGGCTCTTTGACGCCTTAGCTTCATGTCCCTGTCCCTATAAACCTCTCATTGAACCCCAACCCTTACCCAAAACCCCCCCACCCCCCCTCCACCCGGGATATTGTCCGGGGTTCTCGCTCCAATCTGCTTTGGCTTCTCCTGCTGGCCCCCAAATCCTATTTATTTTCGGCCTTTGCTTGCCAGCTCCTCTACGAAGTTGATGTGGTAGAATCGTGCCCGCGGGGGGGAGCTGAGGTTGTGCCGCCGGGCGTTGTGTTTTTTTTAGGGGTGGGTTCTGAGGTTCAGGTCTTAGAGCTTATGGGGGTTGGGGTGCAGTCATGGGTTTAGATGGGACGAGGGTAGTTCAGGGTAAGTTGTGGGGTATAGGCGTTGGGTGGTTGGGCTTCTTTGCAATTTTCTAAGGTTGGGAGCTTAGCCCTAAGGGTCCATATACCTAAATAGGGAATTCTTAGGGAATTCTTGGGCCTTAAAGTATTTCCTACATAAGGACTTTGAGGCCCATGTATGTACTAATAAAGTACATGGACCCTTCGGGTAGGCTTTGTTAGCCAGCACCAAAAAAGGTACTCTGATGACAATATTCTGGTTGCTGGGCTAGCAAGATAACGAAGGCAGGTACTTGGTTCCTTCATAGATGAATAACAGTAACCACGAACAACAACGCTACTCTTGTTGCAATGTGGCTGCTGGGGTACTAAGGGTAGGCCCTTTTTGCCTTTTTTAGGGGACCAAAAAGGGCACCCTTTTCAATATAAAGTTCCCTATACAACCCAAGGGCCCATACTTCAACACCCCTCAGAGGAGGTGAGGGACCATATGTAGTGCTCACGTAACTATCCTCACATAAGATTCCAAGAGAACGATTATCGGGTTCTTAGGGGAGAGGGGCTTCAAGGGGTGTGTGTATCCTAGGTAGGATAAGGGGGACCCTTAAAGGGGAACCCCTTCTGAACCCTCTTCTGGCTCTCTTAAACAGGGACCTTATACAGAGGGTCTATATCCCCAAGGGTCCCCCTAATCCTATCCCCTAGTGTAACCCAAGGTTCCCTGATGCTCCCTACTACTCCCTAAGGCTCCCCATGCTTCCCGAAGGTTCCCTGGGTGCCTAACCCCCCCTCCCCCCCTGAACCTAGGAGCCCTAGCCCTAAACCCTAAACCCTAAACCCTAAACCCTAAACCCTAAACCCTAAACCCTAAACCCTAAACCCTAAACCCTAAACCCTACACCTTAAAGCTAGCTCTATAGTTCTAAGATCACGAAGACAGGTACTTCATGCTGGACGACGGTGAGTACAAGGAGCGATGTATCGTCATCTGGCTCGAGAAGCGGACCCGTGAGCAAGTGTGGTGACCCCCCTGTGCTGTTAGGGGGCCTTCCTGGAACTCTGGGGTTTCAAGGTTTAGAGTTTAGGGTTTAGGGGTTTAGGGGTTTAGGGTTTAGGGTTTAGGGTTTAGGGTTTAGGGCTTAGGGATTCCCCCCCCCCCCGCCGGGACTCTTGCTGGTTTAGGCTTCGGGGTGTGTCACCTGCTCCGTGCATGGTACACCGCGAAAGCAAGGACCCCCAAACCCTTCCTAAAAATCAGATTGGTGGGTGCCGAGTCGTTGCGTGCTTTCTGGCAGGGAAGTCTGGGTCTGTCCTAGGGTTTAGGGTTTAGGGTTTAGGGCTTAGGGTTTAGGGTTTAGGGTTTAGGGTTTAGGGTTTAGGGTTTAGGGTTTAGGGTTTAGGGTTTAGGGTTTAGGGTTTAGGGTTTAGGGTTTAGGGAGGGTGTTGACCACATAAGTTGAGGATCAGGGAGATCAGTGCCCGGGCGCTGCTTCTCGGGGTATGTGTGCGCGAAGGCCCTTTCCCCGGGCAAGAACTGTGGACACCGGCCCCTAGAGCCTATATCCCCCTTGCCCTAAACCCTAAACCCTAAACCCTGAACCCTAAACCCTAAACCCAAGAATATATTAAACATAGAATATTAATCAAGGTTCTAGGAACTTACAGCCTCAAAGCCCTCAGATCTTACGTGGAAGCCCTGCACAACTTAGGGGCTTCTGCTCGGTGAGGCCTTCTCATCCCCACAGTCCTCGAGCGGGCTGTTGCAGATTCTGCCCATCCTGGCTGCCCTAAACCCTAAACCCTAAACCCTAAACCCTAAACCCTAACCCTAAACCCTAAACCCTAAACCCTAAACCCTAAAACCTCCTCTGAACCTGAAAGCCCCAACCAGGTACGCTTATGATAGGTTCGAGCCTGTCAGCGAGCGCTTCCTGCTCCAGAGCGAGCGGAAGAAGTCGGCCCCGCACCCAGGGTTTGGGGTTTAGGGTTTAGGGTTTAGGGTTCAGGGTTTAGGGTTTAGGGTTTAGGGTTTAGGGATTAGGGTTTAGGGTTTAGGGTTCAGGGTTTAGGGTTTAGGGTTTTAGGGGCTTGCATCTGAGTTCGCCGCGCTTACATGGAGGTTCATGGGCGGCGTATGTAGTATTCAGGCTAGAGAAGAGGTACTCGACTTCTGTACCCGTAGGCCTTCAATGTAGCATGCAGGGAACTCAGGGCCCAGATTCTTGAGGGTGGACGGCAGGGTTTAGGGTTTGGGTTTTGACCCTGTCGGAGCATCTTGAGCCCTCAGAACAGGCCCAGAATCTGCTGCCTCAACGTGTGAGAGCTGATAAGCACATGCACAAGTCGGTCTGTGGCTCCCTCAACTTGCTGAAGAAGTTGAGTTTAGACCCATAAACCCTAAACCTCCAAGGTAGGATAAAAAACCCGTGTAACCCTTCTGGACCCTCTTCTGGCTCTCTTAACCAGGGACCTTATTGAGAGGGTCTCCCCTAAGGGCCCCCCCCAATGCTATCCCCTAAAGCCCTGATGGGGACCCTAAACCCTAAACCCTAAACCCTAAACCCTAAACCCTAAACCCTAAACCCTAAACCCTAAACCCTAAACCCTAAACCCTAAACCCTAAACCCTAAACCCTAAACCCTAAACCCTAAACCCTAAACCTGCTGGCCTGAGATCTGCCATGAACCCTGAGCACCCCCCCCCCCTCTCTAGATGCGAATCTTGACACACGCCTCCGGCACAGAGGGTTGAAGGGGCCAACATAGCATAGGCATATATTTAAAAAAAAAATATATATATATATATATACGGTATAAATCTAACATACACACCTGTTTCACGCATAGTTGTCAATACTGTACGTGCATTCCTTGAAGCTGAAGGCTCAGGACGCCAACACAAAATGGGCGGAAAGACTAGGGCGCATAATTTGGTTTGAAGGTCGAACACCCCCCCCCCCCTCTCCCCCGACCCCCTAAGCCCTAACCCTAAACCCTAAACCCTATACCCTAAACCCTAAACCCTAAACCCTAACCCCCCCCGCCCCCAAAGAGTGGGTCCCAGGAACTCAAGTATGAAATCACCGAGAAGTGCTTCTTCGACATTGAGATCGACGAGAAGCCCATGGGCCGCATCGCCCGAGCCTCAGGTGGAGGACTTTGGGGGTTGTCATACAAGTAAGGGCCTTACATAGGGTTTAGGGTTTAGGGTTTAGGGTTTGGGGTTTAGGGTTTAGGGTTTGGGGTTTGGGGTTTAGGGTTTAGGGTTTAGGGTTTAGGGTTCCCGAGTTATAAGTAGCCCTAAAGTGGCTTACAAGTCGAACTATTTAGGCTATAACTCCTTTTGAGTAAAGTTGGCAGAGTAAGCGGGCCCCTACTTGTTGACGATGTAGTAGGATGTGGGCTTAGGGCTTCGCTGAATCTTACGGCTTCACAAGCTTTAGACGTGTCAGGTTTCGGGGTTCGGGCTTACAGCGTGAACCCCAAACCCTATACCCTAAACCTACCACCCTAAGCCCGAAGCAAGCGCGCGCAGTCAGCTAGTAGATGTGCAGGGGTTTAGGGCTTCGGGCTTCTAGGGTTTAGGGTTTAGGGTTTAGGGTTTAGGGTTTAGGGTTTAGGGTTTAGGGTTTAGGGTTTAGGGCTTCGGGTTTAGGGCTTAGAGGTGATTTCCATCGTATGGAAGCCGGGAGTTGCACCAAAAGCATTGGGCTCAGGGAGTTGTGGGGCAACGTAGTCGAAATCATGGCAGGCCCCTCTAGGGTTTAGGGTTTAGGGTTTAGGGTTTAGGGTTTAGGGTTTAGGGTTAAGGGTTTAGGGTTCACCCTAAACCCTAAACCCTGAACCCTAGCTGACAAACGACTTCGGGACTCCATTCAACGCACGTGCGTCCCTAGGTGATCGGTCTCTATGGAGAGGACATGCCAAGAACGGCGCCGAGCTTGGCTGTTAGAGTTTAGGGTTTTCAGGAGACAGGGTTTTTGAGTTGTTTAGAGTTTCAGGGTTCAGGGTTCTCTAAACCCCAAACCCTAAACCCTAAGCCCCAAACCCTAAACCCTAAATCCTACACCCCGAGGGCTTCTAGTTCAGGAGTGTTCCGTAAGTTCACGAGGTAGAGTACGGTACAACCTTACATAAAAAAACAACCACAAGAAGTTTCTACTGTCCCAGATCTTTCTTCAATCGCCATTTGACGTAAGTAAGTTGTAATCCTGCCGAGAGTCTGGAACAGATGTCAACTGGAGCGGTCGTTCGCCCATGTCCGGCTGTTGCGGGTTGCCGGGCCACGCCCGCATCATTCCCAAGGCCCCCTAAGGTTGCAAAGCGCGTTTTTTGGGGCTCTCATTGCGTGAGCTTTTCGATTCTTTCTCTTGTCTGCAAGTTCCACCTTTTCCCGGACGAGAGTCTCGAATAATTTGTTTGCTGTCTCAGCCCTAAACCCTAAACCCTAAACCCTAAACCCTAAACTCTGAACCCTAAACCCTAAACCCTAAACCCTAAACCCTAGGCTCCCACATCCCTGCAACAGATGCTGCTCGCAACTCGTGACGTTCGACAATGCATCGTAGCAGCTGGCGTCGTAGTCGATGATTAAATCAGTAGCTCATCTGATCAGGGCCTTTATAGGGGGGTTTCCGAAAATAGGAGTACCTTATTGGGGTCCTTGTTATAAGGGGATCCTACAATTTCGGGGTGTATATTGGTCATTAGGTGTCCCTTATTCATCACCCCTTATGTGTCGACCCTAAACCCTAAACCCTAAACCCTAAACCTTAAACCTTTAAGTTCTTATTGCCTGGTTGAACCCAAAGGTGTGTCCAACCACCGCAAGACAACGGGAAATGCCAGTCAAGAATGAAGATAGAGAAGACCTCAACACCACAATAATTACCCTCTTCCCCCTTTTCGGGGGGTTTGGGGTTTCGGGTTGAGGGTTTAGGGCGAGGACCCGGAGTAGGCCCTTATTCCCCTTTTTTGGGGGGGTCTAGGTTCCCTCATAAGGTCCTTGAAACCGAAAAGGGCACATTTTTTTCTAGGTTACCCTACACCCCTAACCAGCAGCAAGGTGGAGAACTTCAAATGCCTCTGCACCGGCGAGAAGGACTGGATTTAATATAGGGGTCCTGAA